GTTTCAAAAGTACCGGTTTGGCACCGGTATCGGATAAAACCTAAACGATACCCATCCCTACTCGTAACACATCAAAGTCACATTAAACTGAGATTTTCTGGAGCAAAAAGAAAGTGACACTCACCCAAATTCAAGAATTTTTCCAAAAGAATCTGAAATTCAAGATATTATAGATTATTGTGAGACTCCAATTAGAGTTTATTTAGTTAGTTTGTTTTGCTTCAATTCATTCATTTCAACCAATTTAGACCAACCTTTGGTTCCTCGTCCTGGATGAGATCGATAGGCCCACCCTCAGCAGCTACATTAATCCTCAGGGCATCAAAGTCTTTGCCAACTTCAAAGTTCCCTGTTTGGTCATCTAAGGACAAGGCTACAGAAAGACAGGCATAATAAATAAACAGTTTCTTAATGTGGGGACAGTTAGTTCATCAAAAAGATGAGATATATGACTACATAGCTACTGAGCACATGCCTATTACTACTTCTGTTATCATAATAGTGCTAATCATAATGTTTACTAAAGAACTTCTAGTTTTGAATGGCTTACCCTGACTGCCTCCCAGTGTGGCTATTCTGAACACCTCCTCAAAACTGAGTGTTTTGTATTTTGGGTCCTGGATGGTCAAGACTTTAGATGCATCCAGAGCTCTCCTCACAGCATCGAGCATAGAGGCGGAGTAGCCTCCAGCCACATCTGGTACAGCACCACAGACACAGACAGGACAGGGCAATGAAAAAATATGAAAAGCAGCCACTTGGTTTGTCAGGATTTCCAGGATGGCGTTGTCAGGTTTTCCCTATAATCGTAAAAACTTTTTGAACATTTGCTGTGGCGCCATTCTAGTGTTAGTGTGTGACATCACTGATTCCTGGATCTTTTCCTCATTATTCCCCACCACTTCGTGCTGCAGCAAAAGCATCTATTAAATCAAAAGTTTTACCAACTTTGAGCTTAATTTCACACCTTTAAGCTGAGCTGGATTCTGAACCTCCCAGTTGTATAATAAAACTTTAAAGTGATTGTTGCTGAAGATTAGTTAATTAATAACAATGTGCACTAGTGTGGGCCAGAGTTTACAAAAGCTTAATCATCACACATCATTTTATGACTTCCTTATGGTGTGAATTGGTGTGTTTGCAAAATGAAAACTGTGTTCACACTTGCTCTGCTCTCCCACCTGTTCCCAGCCCCAACTTTACTTTGTGTTTCAGGACGTTGCGGACATTTAACACTCCACTGCACAACCTGGATAGATGGTGAGAGAGAGAGAGATGACAATCAAACTCATTCATTATGTAAAACTTCATAGACTTTATTTCATGGCTCTTGGTCAGATATGGTTCTAGAAACCATAAAGTACTTACGAAAAGTTGGAATTGGGACAGTGGGACAAAGAGGCTCCAGTCTCTCTGAACAGAGCCAACTCTTCATCACTGAGGTGGCACCCGTGGGCCATCACTGTCTGTGAATCACCCCATCATTAATAGTGTCAGTGGTTGTAAGTATTTATATAATGTTTTGTGTAAAAATGTCTGATCGTGTGCAGGCAGTAGTGTACTAACCTTGTCAGTTAGCAGGTTGTGTTTGCGATAGACATCTGTGTAAGACTCTGATTCGGGAAACAGCTCCTTTACAAGCTTTACTTCCTCATGAGTTTCACTGATATGACTCTGACAATGAAGAAACACATCAGATATTCAAGTGATAGCTTAAGAAAACCTCTGACAAAAGCTCTAGCATTCAGATTGAGTGGCAGCACAGTTGCTGCATTACGCCAAACATGTATGTGTGCATTTTACCTCATCGTCCCAACATTACATTGTCTCTTTGGAATACAAGTCTCCTGCAGATATAGCCTAGTTTGACTCACCTGAATGTGCAGGTTGTTATTTTTAGCGATTTCTCCCAGCTGCTCGAGCAACGCTCCTGTGCAGGATGGAGCGAAACGGGGAGTCACCACAGGCTTCACTAAAGGGTACTGCCCTCAGAGGACGGAAGGAGAGACAATCAGAAAACGTATTTTTTTCTAATATCTTTGAAAAGTCCTGTTTATTGTATTAAAGAATCTTACCTTTTTCTCCAGAAGCTCTTTAATGAACCTTCAGAGAGCAAATTAACAATGTAGTTTATTTATCTGTGGCAGATACATTTACTGATATCAAACATTATCTATTTTTGCAACTGAAACTTGTGCTCAGAACAGATCTGCTGGTAATCATGTGTACTGAAGCACAACTGGCATATTTGTGTGATTTAATGTCATATATTTTGTTTTCATGTGTGATTCTGTTAAATTGGGACCTTAAAATTTTAATTCAGGGAAAGATCCTAAGTAGAATTAGATTCAAGGTTATGCCATAAGGGAGCATCCCTTACATTAAGGTTCTGGTTTTCTTAAAGCTCCGACCTCAACCCCATTGAGAATTTGTGGACTACGCTCAAAAGCAGAGTTTGTGCAGGAAACACAGGAACTCTACCAGTTGGTCAAATATTCAGCCAGAATCATGCCAGAAGACTATGGTTGAGGTGCAACTTGCTAAGTGTATTTATATATTTGAAACCGTATGTAATATTTTGACGCTGTGTTGATTAATCCCATGTAAATCTAAACTTTTGGAACCTATTCTTGGCTTTTACACTCATCAAAGATGTGTGCTGTACAATCATTCCACCACAGAAAACAATCAGTTAAAAAAGACCATGACAGCCATGCCCATGAGTTTATGTTGACTTTTGACCACAATTACAACCAAACAGGTGATACCTTCACTGTTCTTTTCCACTACTGAAAAAGTATTTCTTTTTACCATATAGTGTTGATATGTCTGTCTATGATATCAGATTAACTCCCACAAAAAAAAAAAAAAAATTGTAACACATTTGGCATCAATCTGGAAAAATCTGTATCAGGGTCTCTGACTAAATAATTACAAAGTAACCAAACCTGTCCTGTCATGGAATATCTTTACATTGAAAGAACATTGTAACACAAGATCTGCTTTACGGTATTAAGCATCTAATACCTACCGACAGGTCTCGTCTTGAGAGTCCTGCAAGGTCTCTTTGTAATGTTTCACACAATCGTTCCTGTCCATGCACACCTTGCCAACCAAAGCACGCTGTCCAAAGTCATCTGCAAGAAAGGCATCAGTGAGTAAACAGGAACATAAGTAAACATTCATCCTTTCAAAGCTGTTACTGAGTATTTGATTTAATTCGATTTTTGAGGACGAAGCTCAGTCATTGTCAACTCATGTTAAATGAAGAGTATTTGTGCAGTTGCGATGCTCACATATAATAAACAGCCTCCGTAATGTCACCTGTGTGTCCTTGAAAGGCCCTACACATGTCAGAGTAAAATCTTGTTCTAACTCCTTATGCCAGTCATCTGATATAAATGCACGCAGAGCCAATTTCTAAATATATATTGTGTAATGTGGAAGTTAGTGCATTTTAGTCCTAAACAGGTTCAGCAGCACCGCTTGCAATAATATGGCTTTTTGTTTTGATAGGACTAACGATAGTTTAGGTCAGTCGTTCAGTTAGCACGACACCAGAGGCCTGATACGGAGGCAGCTAAGTGAAATAATTAGGAATACTCCTGTTACCAGGCTGAGTTTATCCCAGAGATGTACTGTTTGCAACCACTAAAAAATGCTTTGTTAAACAGATTATTGTGCTGTAAAATCCTCAGGTGATCAGGTTACAGAAGTTAGGATGTAAGACGGTTGAAAAACTGCACTTTCTTTTACATCCCATCGTTAGACAGCTGCATTATTTTTCATCCATGGACATGCCCACACGTGATTTAAGCTTTCTAGGTGTGTCTCGTCTTTGCTTGTTTATTATCTGTGTATATAAGATGGAAAAATTTCTATTTCCCCCTGTAAAGTGAAGTGAATGACTTCTATGGGATGATGACTGTACTGCTCACTTGATATATGACCTCAGTAAACATTTGCCTAGTTTGTTTATGTTCTCGATCACAAGTTTCAAGCCCATACAACAGAACATTATGTTCTTTTAATAAATGGCCCTCTCAATTACGGAGAACCATATTACACATTGTGGCATGCTTTAGGGTGTAGCTTGATAGGCTAGTCACTACAAATCTCAGATCTACACCTCTGTTGTCAGGTGTGGTTTCATAACTCTAAAATTATGTGGTCCAGCCAGCTGGACCACATAATTTTAGAGTGTAGATCTGAGATTTGTAGTGATAAAACATTTTGTGTCTGATCTGTCGGAAAAACTATATCGCTGTATCCGAGCTTGAATCCGAGCTTGAACCTGGACTAAACAAATTGGTTTGTTGCAAGTATATTCTTAAGCTTTTCTCATGTTAAATGTACGGTTTGGAAATACTCCAACTTGCCTATACACAAGCACATGCCTCTGTTCAACAGTTCAGAGTTCAAAGTTAAGAGTTCAATGCCCCTGATTGCACAAAATGACTCTGTAAAGTTGCCAATAACAGGGTTTGATGCGTTGGGGTTACATCATTACAAATTCATGTGCGTGTGTGTTCAGTGTTATATAATATGACAGGAACAAGATAAAGCTAGGGTATAAAGGTGAAGGACCATTTCTTTGCAGTGTTTATGAAACATATCGTTAGAGTGAAGAAAGGCAAGAAAAAAATTAAATAACTGAGTCTGAGTCAAAGCATCATAACATACTGCACATGATGATGATTATAAAGAAGTGAGACAAACTAGTATTCTGATTATTTTTAGGCACTTTTATATTGTTAGCACAGCCTTCAGTAAAGTCCGCTTCCTTTTCTTGTCATCTTAAATTATGGAAAATTTAAAAATATTATCGTAGCTTATTACACATAAAAAACAAATGTGATATATATTTAAAGAATTAAGAGGCCTACTGTAATGCTTCAAAATAAACATTCAGCTCAAAGTGTGTGTTTGTTCATGTGTTTTAGTATAAGACATCTTACTTGCAATCTGGCCCAGCAACAGAGAAGCTTCAGTGTGAATCGTAGCAAAGTAGCATGCAGTCGTTGTTCCATTTCTCAGAGTTCTTCTCTGTAAAGCACAGGGATCATATCACAGGATTAAGACCAAATCAACACTTCTGAGACCCTTAACTCACAGGCTGAGTCACAATCCGATTTCTTTTTTGGCTTGTTGAATGTCTTTAATCAACAACTTTGAACTGATGCAAATGTTCAAAGTTTCACATCAAGAAATAAGTGTCCAAAGTCACTTGTCTCTTGATGTTGGCAAACTCACCACTATTTGAGTGTAGACCTTGCGGGCGAACTCCAAGTCCTTGAAGCATGACTCCACAGGAAAGGTGTAAGCATTAAGCCACTGCAGTAACGGCATGTCCAATGCGGTGCCAGCGTAGCTGTACTGTGATGCATGGATGTGGGTATCTACAAGTCCTGGCATGAAGAACTCACTAGAATGAAGCAAGCCAAAAAAAAAAAACTGCTTTATGACATATGAAAGAAATCACTTTCTTCCAATACAAGATGAGCATCCATCTATCCATCCCTTTTCTTTATATCTATATGTGTGAAATTATAATGCAAACAAGCTCTGATTTACTGAAATGACATCAAGATTATATAATAAACTTACTGTTGTGCCAACTGAGTGATGTCAGATGTTTTGAATCCAAAGGTCTGGGACAGTTTTTCTAACTCCTTGCCTTCCCTAATAAAAGCAATCTGACCGCAGAATGTAAATTAGACCGGGGTTAAAAGCATACATGCAGAAAGGTGTTTGTAATTAAGCAAGCTGAGAGAACTGAGAGCTTAGGGGGAGGCTTTGGAAGAAAATAGACAGCTGTATATTTTTAATACGTTTGCTTAAAATGTATTTTCATCAACAGTTTACAAACATATTCCTTTGTCCACAACAACCGAGACCAGAATCTATTATGGATAAAAAAAAATTCATATTAAAAGTTATATATCTTTTTTTTTTTTTATTAGACACGTTGTAATCAGGCAGGTGCACTGTAGGCGTCTATTTATAATATAAAGTGATTTTTACTGTTGGCCATACTGCCAAAGTTGCTCAGCAACAGCTAATTATATGAGAAAATTAAAATAGCCTAGCCTGTTATACCAGATTTACGCCCTGAAGCCTGATTTACCCCTTTGTCAGTTAAAAATAGTCATCAAGATATTTATCAAATGTAAAACGCAAACAATGTATTCTGGAATTCCACAAACCTTTCCCTGTGCATCCACTCCCAGGAGCGCATCTTCCAGGATCTGTAGCGCCGTTTGCTGAGTCGAGTGGACAAACGTGCCCCTGTAGACGAAGGCTATTGCAGTGTCGGCTCGGTCGGAGTTCGCCATTTCTTCTCCAAGTAAGTCGCGGTGCAGCAGTGAGATACAGCGGGATCGAGTCGGGTATTTGTCCTCTGCCAGTGCCAAACACCACCTGACGGCAGAGGTCTTGAGCAGCCAATGAGAGGACAGGGTGTGCATGTCGGGATCGTCCCGTCTATATGTTATAACACTTGTAACGTGTGATCTGATAAGCTTAAGGATGAATTTCATGTTTTGCCTTTGTTATCCTGGCTTAGTATTAGGTGCGTAATGCAAAGTATCAAAGTTATCCACGAGTCAATGCTTTCTGCTGAATAGTAAACTTTGTAGTGGTCAAGGTTTCTAAAAAGAAACATGACCACTCAGAAATCAGCGCAAAAGACAGAAAAAGCTCGCACTTTCCGTCGTTTCTTTTGCGCAAATTTAGACGTAAGCATATATACAGGGAGTGCAGAATTATTAGGCAAATGAGTATTTTGTCCACATCATCATCTTCATGCATGTTGTC